CTGGTTGCTCGGAGGCCTTTCCACCACGCAGCTCTGGGGGGACTTGATATTGCAGTTTGTGGGGGGCTGGACGCCGCCCTGGGGCATCATGCTGCAGCTGCTGCCCATGCTGGCGATTTGCTGCGTGACCACGCAGCTGTTCTGGGTGAGGCTGCCGGAGGAGGACAAGGGTCCGTAGGAGCAACTGCTCTGCGAGGAATTGTTCCCACAGATGCTGCCCCCCATGGTGGAGTCGTAGCTGCTCGGGTTCTCGTAGTTCTCCGTCGTGCTCTCGATGCTGCCGAGGTCACTGAAACCGCTGTCCACCACTTGCTGAGAATGGTCGGATACGGAAGGCACATCCATCATGGGGCTGGTCTCCATGTTCTGCATAGAAGGGGCGGAAAGGGAGCCTTGCTCCGGGCTGATCTGGGTGTAGCCGCTCTCCAGAGCGCCAGGCACGCTGGGGCTGCTGACGGAGCGCACGGACTGGCTGGGGTGAGACTGGACCGAGGACATGGGGCTGTTGTGTTCCGACGCCTGGCAGTCTTCGACCATGGACATCTGCGGGTCTTCTTCCGCCTGGGTGTAGCTCTGCAGGTTCTGACAGGCCGCCAGGGTCTCCTCGCAGTCCTGGTAAGCCACGTCGTGCTCGTTGTTCTCTTCCTCCTGCGTCAAAGACTGCACGGCCTGGACGGTTTCGAGATCCAGTTCGCTGTGAGGGATTGGCTCCTCTTCCTTGAGTTCAATCAGACCTTCCTTGGGGTGCTGCTCTTCCTCCTGGTCATCTTCAGAGCCGGGAACAGGGTCCGACCCCACGGATGTCTCGTGAGAGGCCTGCTCTTCCTCAGAATCCGCCTCCCCCTCGCTCTTGCTTTTCACGTCGTCTTCTCTACTGTCCTGTGTGCTTGTTTCTAAAAAAGGCTCCTGGACTTCAGGTTCTTCCTTCAGTTCCTCTTTCGCCGCCTGTTCTTCCAGCTCGTTCTTCTTGGCAGATTCCACGTGGCCGTCGTCTTCCTCGTCGTCTGCATCATGGTCGTCGTTCTCGTTCACGACTGCTGCCGCTTCCTCTTCCTCCTCCTCCTGGTCGCGCTCAGGTTCTTCCACCTCCTGCTGATCTTCTTCAGACGGCCTCTGCTCTTCAAGCACCTGTGGCGGCTTCTCTCCTTCTTCCTCCAGTTCAGGTTCCTTCCCTTCGGCTGCCGGGCTGTTGCTGCTCTCGATGGGAGAAGCCGCTCTCGTTTCACTGGCCGGTGCCTCTTCCTCCTCCTCCTCTTCTCCCAAGTCCCCTCCCTCTGGGGACTCGTCGTCTTCCTTCCTCTCTTCTGGAACCAGCAGAAGGTCTTCCTTTGGCTCAACAGGTTCCTCCTTCTCCTGCACTTTGGGTTTCCACCCCGGTTTTGAAGCTACTTCCACAGGATCTGCTGCCTCTTCTGCAGCAGGAGCGAGAACTCTCCCTCTCTTCGGATTGAAAGCTGGCTTGCGCCCCGGCCTTTTCCTCCAGTGGATGGGCTTGCGGCTTTTGCCCTTGGGCCAGCCTTTCTTCTTCTTCATTGGGGTGGAGGTGTCCGGTGGGAGGGGAGAATCTTTTGCTTCACATTTTCTCAGTACAGAGACTGGTTTCAAGGTAGGAGAACCTGAAGAAGAGGGAAGGGGGGTGAGGGTGGGGAAAGAGAAATTAATATCCTGGACCAGTGTTTGGTAGTCTCTCCTAGGACTTGTCAGTGAAGAAGCTGCAGCTAGGCAATCACCTACCCATTCACAACAATTTAGGATTGGAGCAACAATTACAAATACTCAACAGAGTTTATTCTTTAAAACAATGAAGGAAATACAAGGCCATGCCATTTGATAACTTGCCACTGATTGCTAAAAGTCAACCACATTATATTTTTATTTTCTTATTTCATTCCGGTAATACAGCTGGATTAGCCCCTCCTTTAAAAAAGCCACCCCGCCAATAGAATCACAGTCTAATACTGTTCCCACAAAAGTTCCAGTTCACCTATTTAAATCTAGACCCTTATCTGTTATCATGACACTCACATTCTGGAAGCTTTTGGCATCTCAAAACAAATCACAAACCACAAGGAATATTCAGAACTGAACTTTGCATCTTTTTCAGTTTTGTAAAATAATAATAACTGCATGCCATGAAGTTAATTTTGGCAGATGGCCACCCTTTCCAGGGTTTTCCTAGGTAGAGAACACACAGAACCTGCTCTCCATTTCTACTTCTGGGGCTGCCCTGGGACTGTGCTCTAGTGGAGCATTGAACTCCCAACTTCTGGTTCTGCAGACAAATGTCTATTCCACTGAGTTTTCCACCAGCTTCCCAGCCATTCTATAGCACAAGGGTTCAACACCTGCAGTGCAATCAGCCGGTGTGGGCGGTGATCCTGGGTGAAAGCAAGTGAGCCCACAAAGATGGACACTCTGAGCAAAAGGCCAGGTTTGTCCTCTCGAGGACAAACAGATGCCTTCTCAGGCCTGAAATGTAAAACATGCGGCACGCATGGTAAAAAGAATGACCACCAACAACACGGCACATCTCATAGATTCCAAGGACATCCTATCGAGCTTGTAGCTTTCATAACAACCCTGCCAGGAAGGCAGGTGTTGCCATCTAGCTATTGCTGTGAGCAGAGGACTGAAAGCAAAAGGAAGCATTTCACGGGAGCTTGCATGGCGGGTCCGTGTTGCCATCTAGCTATTGCTGTGAGCAGGGGACTGAAAGCAAAACGAAGCATTTCACGGGGGCTTGTATTGCTCAGGGGGAGGGAAGCTGCCTTTCTAATCAACCTTCCACGTTTGGCAAGCCAGTTTCTTCCATGCTCCGATACCCCCTCGATTCAATTCACATGAGTTTCTCTCACAAGCTGCTCCCAGGTGGCTGCTTCTAATGTTGTGCAATTATTTTTTTAAGTAACTGAACATTATAGCCAACTATTTTACAGCACTTGGGCACGCAGGGGGCTGGCTTAGTTAATAAAACAGTACAGCTGACTAAGAGGTCACTACGAAACGACTCAGCTTGACAGGCGTATTGAAAAGGGTGTCAGACGTTTCCAACCACTGTTTTTAAGAGGTCAAATGCCACTTAATTGTCTCAATCAAAGAAGGGGCAGTAAAGCACTTGGGGAAAGGCTGAGGAACTATAGCCGAGTACCACTGCACCATTCTTGTTGGCACAGGGAAAATTCCTGCCTCGTGGAGCTGAGCGTGTGCCATTTAACAGCCTGCTGCTAAAGAACTGAGCAATAGTGCTACCTAATTAAAGTATGCAATAGATGAGCCGTGAGTCGCAGGGCTCAGAGAAAAACAGCACCCTTTGAGAGACGTACCAGTGGCCTCGTCCGATTCCTCTCCAGTCTGAGATCCTCTCTTTGAGGAGGGCCTGTGCCGGAGAGAGTCCTGGGGTGGAAGACGGTGAAGATAACCTCTCGAGAACAGCTCGCTTTCCTCCTCATCCTCCTCATCTTCCATCTCGAAGGTGGGTTCCAGCTGAGGCATGGGCCGCTCCGAGTCGGAGTCCTCGAAAGGTTCATCCAGGACCTCCGTGGTCTCAGAGATCGTCTCCGTCACCACGCTGCTGTTGTGGTATTTGCGCTTACGGACCCGCCTCTTCCGGGGATTGGGCTTCTGCACGGGACAGGTAAAACAACAACACAGCATTGTTACATAGAGCAGGGATAGGCGCTGGGCTCCGTTGGCCAGGGCCATGGGGACCCCATCAGCACACCCACTGTCTGATCTCTTAGCTTTCTGGAGGAAAAGGAAACTTTTAATCTTTCTGGAGAAAGCGATTAACTCCAAAAGCACAAAAGAGAAACAGGAAGCGGCCCCGAGGTGGATCCCTGCAGCATCCTTTTTCGGGCTCCACTTACAATTCACACGACAGGCCCAAAGAGACCACTGCAGTTCCACGCATCTAAAAGGGCAGGCAAAAGGCACTATGGAAGGAGAGAGCGCTGGCATTCCCCACCCCAGCTGCTATGGTATTTCAGCCAAGTCAAATTCCAAAATAAATGGCCTCCAACTTCTCCTGCAAAATAAAACGACAACGACACAGATCTCCTGCAGAAGCCAAGAGGCAACGCCTAACCTCAAGTCCTATCTCAACAGGTTGGCTGTATAGATTTTGTGTGGGACCCAGAGTCAGTCAATCATGCCCCAATGCAATCTGTTGGACTGCAGTGAAAATGACTTAGTCTGGATCTAGTCCATTTTTTCTTGACACCCAGAGGAACCAGTATAGAATGGGTACTTCACAACATGGAAATAGAATCACCACCAGTTCTAAACACATGCTGGAAGTCCTCTTTAGAATTTGAGAAAAAAACCAAGGCGGAATAGTTTCTTTCGGAGAATCTCTGTTTCCATTTGTGAAAGGTTTTAGCCCTTCTTACTCCATCTCCCCTCCAACTTTTAAGATGCATATGGGCAAAGCCCATGGAAATATCAAGATGCCCAGAGGGTGCTGATCAAATCTGCAGCAACTGAGGCTGAAGCTTTTATGTCCCATGGATGCCTGTGTCCTGACTGGCAAAACCTGGAAGGGGGAGAGATGCAAAGCAGGAAAGCACTGAGCAGAATGACAGATCTGCCTCTCTTGCGATGATTAATGAGTTCAGGGTTTTTTTTTAAAAAAAATGCAAAGCACAAAACCCCTCAAGATCACTCAAAGGCTTTCCAAAGGACCGAAGGAGAAACCTGCGGCCTTCAGTGCAAGTGAGAGGTTTCCCCAGCCAAGACTTCCAACGCCACGCGGCAAAGCCATCACTGCAAGACAGACTGGGAGGGGAGCACGCACCTTGCGTTTCAGGGTGGGCTTTGTGAGAATCGGCGGGGAGTTGGAGCAAGGGCTGACAGGCTGCTCCTCC